CAAGTAGTTTCAGGGAACTTGTAATTATTTCACAGTCCCTGTGACTTCCAAGAAAAGAGCAAACTTTTAGTAGAAGATGTAAGTATTCAGAGAGGCTCTTTCTAAATTTCCTTACCCAAAAAAAAAAAAAAAAAAATTCCTGTTTCCTAGGGCATCTAAGACTGGCATTTTAGTAAATGGGGATATATAGGAAATGGAGTGGAAAAGATGCGTAGGTTTGGGGTCTTTTCATTATATTTTGGGGGAGGAATAAGCATTGAAAATAAGAATTTAGATTTATTTTCAAAATTTTTAAGCGAAATCAAGTTATACTCTCCCATGCCCCCCAGCCTCAACCTACCCTCTCTCCCAGTTTCTCAAGAGTTCTATCTCAGAGGATTTGGCAGAGAAGGTTTTCTCAGAGTTGGTCCTCTTAAGAGGCTGAGTAAATTTCTTGCCATGTGGAACATCAGTTTCACCTAAATCTTGAATCAGGCCAGTGTTTACAATACCACCCTTCTATAAAGAAACAAGAATTGTTTGGGAAACTCCAATTCAGTTCATGAGTGTGTCTGTAGATTTGGGATTCAAATGTATATACTTGACTGTTTTCCCACATACACACTGATAGAGGATAAGTGTACTGCTGATTAAACACAGTAGCCCTTTCTGGGTTAATGGGAAGGGCACTAGATCTGCTGACACTTTTGCTCTTTGAGGCTTCTTGCCATAAAGTAAAATTGTAACTGTCTTCATAGTCTTGCCTTCAGTTGTGTTAAACAGGTAACTTCATATTTATTGTTAGGTTCAGGGGTTTTGGCCTATCATTTTGGCAGCAACATCTGAACAGGGATAAATTCCTTCTAAGAGGAGCCTACGGATAAGGACTTGATCCTTCTTTCATTTAGGAAAGTGGCACTTTTATGGCATTAACTAACTGGGAACAGAATCAAGACATAAAATAGTGATGTCAGGATCAAGACAAGAGAGGATAAAATGGACTATTAAAGGATGTATTAAGTCTAGTTACATGTTGAAGTAGAACTGTGTGTAAGCCTGGAGTAACTTGTTTAGGAAAACAACTGTGTGCATGTTTGTCATGATGTCAGTTATTCTGGGTATAAGAGTACTTCAGTTAAAAAAATCGTATTTGGTGGAATAAAGTCACCAAAACATGCTGGTTGCTTTTAAAGAGTGAGTCTCAAAGATTCACAATTAGAAACTAGACAATGAGAATATACAACTTTACATACTGTGCAGACTTTGTGAAATGTTTTCCAGGAAAGTTGGGTACAGCCATGAATCACTTATGGAAAACCCAGTGGAATGAATTAGTCAAAGAAATATTTGAGTGACCACCCTTTGCCTTGTACTATCAGGAAATAGTGCAGCTTTCCATGATTTTTATACAAATCATGTGGCATAAATAAGAAAAGCTATAGTTAGAATAGCAAGAAGTTACAATTACTGCTCTTTGACTGTCTCATAACTTTCTAAAAATGCTTATTTTGAAATAAATATCAAATATAATACTGGACAAAAAGGTGTGGGTATTTTGGGGCAAATCTTAAAGTTTTTAAGATGCTGAGGGAATTTTTCTACTTTTGTCCCTGAACTTGCCTCTTCTACCTGTGTTTTCCTTCTGGCATAATTTAAAAGGGGTGGTGTTGGTGTTGGTGGTGTTTGCACTCTTTTAAAACTGTTACTTGTCGTCTTTCCTTTGACTATTAGGCTTTTACTTTCAGGGTGACAACTAAACAAAGTCTGACTGAACAATTGAAATAACTATAAAAATGAAGGCTTCTGTATCGGTACTCTAAGTTACTTATTTGGCAATATACATACACTGCAATATTGATTACTGTTCAGAGAACTGATGGAAAATAGTGTCCTTATGTAGTAAATTGCACAAATATTTATTTATTGGATAGTAATTATTTTTTTTCCATGTTATCAGTGTAATTATCAGCTAAGTTCTACAATGTTGTCTGTTTCACTCATGCAAATGCACTGATGTGTGTGAACTTTCATTCTTTTGCACTAGCCAGTGTGATCTGAACAGTGTTAATGATTATGTCATTATAAGACTAAAATTATATTGGAAATGCCAGAAAAAAAAAAGTGCATGGAGTGAGGGAGCACAGCTTTCAATCTTCCTTGGAGTGAATCCTGCAGTAGTTTTTGTGACACAGGCTGTTGATCCAAAAGCTTAGTGGAGTTCTTTCTGTTTGGTACGGAGTTGCTTGGACTTACTGACATCCTGTCATAGATACAAAGCTGTGAGTATTGAATGACTGATAAGTCTCACTTGTTACTGCTTTCTTTTACTTTTTGAGGGCTGGTTCTGCTAGAAGAATGCATGCAGGTTCTCTTAGGGGGCTGCATAGGAAGTTGGTTTGTGTTTTGTTTTTTTTGTTTGGTGGGTGGGATTTTTGTTGTTTTTTTTCTTTGTGGGCAACAGCTTGTGCATGGGTACAGTCTTGATTAGACCAGTTTAGTGCAATAGGTTGAATATTTTGTTATTTAGTAAGTGAAAACTGCTGTGTTCACTTTTCCTGTTCAGCTATACTGAACTGTGTCTTGCTATTTTACTGGGCTATTTTTGAAAGAGGGCAATGTAAAGAAATGACACTTAGGCAACTTTAACTTTGAATTTATTTGGAAAACAGATGGGTGCCTCTTTCAGTGAAATACAGATGAATAAATTTAATGACAAGGGGCTTTTAAAAGTTAATTCTTAGCCATACAAGATACCACTGAGCTGAACTCTGTCCTCTTCTGCTCCTTATACAGAACCAAGCTTAAACGTATCACTGCTCATCTCCATCCATTTGGATTCTTTTTTTCCTCCTCAATTTTTGTCCACTTTACCACGCCCCCGATAGCCATTCATAATTCTTTCTGGCCTTTGTGCTCTCATTCTTAAAACCAAAAGCATGCATACTGTGTCAAATACACTTTTTAGATTCACATTGCTTGCTCAGTATGCATTTCTGCTTTTGTGTGCAAGTTAGGAGGTGGTCCTTCTAAGTTATCCTTAGCCCTCACTCATTCTTAGCTTTTGTTTTGAGCTCTGGAAACTCCAGGAAAATGAAGACACCTTTTTTCCTAAGGTAGCTTTTTATTTTAAGGTAGATTTTTATTTTAAAAATTGTATTATAGTGTGTGGACTAAGCGAGCTGGTAAAGCTTGCAAATTCCTTTGTACACCAAGCATATTTCATAGATTGAGGAACAAATGTCTGTCTGTCTTTGCACTTGTGTCCTTGGCTGTCAAAGTTCTGAATTCTCCTTTCTTTACATCTTGTGTCATACACTGATACTTGTTCTAGCTTGTCAGGAGGCCCACATAAGCTTCCTGCTTCTGCTGAGCAAAATAGCTGACAACAGTTCTGCATGCTTCTTCCTTGGCCTTCCTACTCTGCCCAGTCCCTGATGTTTTCAGGTGACTCTTTTATCACAAATGTTGTCCTTTAACACTTTATCCTGGTATCATACTTGTTTGAAACTTGCTAAGAGGCTCAAAACTGTCCATTTTATACCTGCTGCCTCATGAATTTGAGAAAACTCTCACTTTAAGGGAGATTTTTCTTCTGTGGATTTATTCTTGCATGAAGGAGCTCTTTCAAAGTAAAACACAATGCTTTTTTTTCCAGATCATTCTTTGAAGGATTAAGTAATGTCCTGAGAAGATTATCCCTGAATGATGTCTGAATATAGGGTTATAGGCTCTTAGTAATCCTCCAAGTGAATGTAGAGTCCTCAGAAATTCCCTAACCTCTTAAGATGCTATTTGCTAATGACTGTTTTCTGCTTTCCAGGTGAGAACAAACTTTATGGGCTTTCTAACATACTTCCTAGGTATACAGCAGTCGTAAATATTCTTTGCTCTGTTGTTGAGTTTTCCAGAGAGACACCAGCTACTCTTAACTGAATGGTTTGTAGCTCCCAAGTGCAGGATGGCTGAGGTATTGACAAGTGGGAAGGAATTCTAGTGCTGATCAGGCTTTCAGGTGCCATTATGTGAATTGGTGATAACTGAGTGTCATGGTTGCTCAGTTCAGGTTAACACCTTTGTTCCAAAATAGATTTTTCTGTAGAGGGTTCCGTTCTTTCCTCAGCAGGTTAATTCGTGATCAGTTTACGATGCTGGTTTGCACAGGTGTTAAAGTATTTGAACAGCCTCTCTGTATAATCTGTCCATACGGACTGACATAATGCTACCCAGTTCTTATTTACTTGTTCTGTTCTTACCTCTTGCTAAAAACATTTTTCTCAATGAAATAAACTTAATTAAATAGAAATTGCTTGTGTCTTCTAAAATGCTTTCAGCATATAAAATCCTAAGATACTTTATTTCTATTATTTGGCAAGTCTACAATTCTGTTTAGTCACTGCAATTTTGCACACTTTTGCTAATTTTTACTACTTAAAAGTAATTTTTCCAGGTGGAATGGTGTTTTTAATGTGAATAGGAAAAAAGTTGCCACTAAATATACTGTATGAAAATACTTATTTCCTTCTGGATTACTTGAATGAGGGCAAAATTGCAATCCATTTACTATGGATCATTTGAGTAAGATTCCTTGCAGCAGTAGAAACATGTTGAAAAAAAGCTTTACATTTTGGAATATACTTGCCATATTCAAAAGTTTTCTAAATGAGTCTAGTTGGTTACTCAAATATTCTGTAGTGGAATTTCCAAATTACCGCTTTTATGTTACCAGTCAGTGAACAGGAATTTAATGTTTAATGCTTGGAAATGGAAGTATAAGTCATGGATTTTTCCAAGGAAGGAATAAGCACACTGTAAGTGTTTTATTTTTCAGATGGCTGGAAAACTGTCACACATTGAGTCTGTAAATAGCCTTTCTATGATAGAGCACAGCTCTTTATATTCTGTTTGAACATATGTAGGCTACATAATGCAAGCGTGACAACAGCTCATATATTTTAAGCTCCTATTAAAAAAAAAATCTTGTAAGAGTCTATTCAGTAAAAACAGCTACTTTCCTTCTTGGCAATGCTTTTGGAATTTGTGTTTAAAAAAAACCGCAAAATCATCAGTGGGTTATTTGCATTTTTTTTTTTTTTTTTAATCCGTTAGTGGAGTAATTGTGGAGTGGGTAGCTTCTGTGTGCAGAGAAATGGCTGAATTCAGCACTTGGCTTCATAGAAACCTTGCTGACGTCCATAGGTGATGCATACTTCTGTGGTCAGAACTCTAGATCCCTTGGCTTTTTCCTGAAAGGACATACAGCTTCAGGGTGCAGTCTGTAGTTTTAGACTTCAAATAAATGTTTGTAATTGCATTAAGAACTAATTAGAGTAGGATTTATTCTTTATTCTCCTTTTGAAATAATAGCAGTAGATGCAGGTAACCTTCTGGAATGTGAAAAGTTGTTGAATTACAAGTTAACTGGCATCCATTGGAGCAAACCTGGGTTTCAATTCACATGTCTTTAATAGGTGAAATTTTTAAGTGAAGGGAGAATAAATAAGGCTTCAACTTTCAAGAATTATTGATTAAATGGTAAACAAAATTATATCTCAGGTTTTGGAGATCCTATGAGGAAAGACTGATTGATTATTGCAAACAATTCACCTCAATTTTTTTTTATTCAAAAAGAAGTGCTCCAAAGTTGCTGCAAAGTAATTGGACTGTAGGCAAGCTAGTACGCTACTTCAACAAATATCATCAAAGGGTAATAATAGCTCTTGAAGATTTTGAATCAGCTGTACTCTGTGAGGGGGAGTAGTCCACAGAATGGCATCTGTGCATTGTCTTTGGGTGTAAGACTATACCCAGATTCTCAAAAGTCTATCAGAGCAATGTTGAGAAACAGCTTCTGGGAGGAAGGACCACCCGGACCACTGGTTTGAATAAAGATAGCATCTTGCTATTATGTTGGGGGAATAAATAATGTGTTGCAGTGATGGCCTGAGCTGCCTTTTTTACTTTCACTAGCCTTGAGGAGCATGTATCTGTTCTGGAAAAATTCCAAATTTTGCAGAATTTCAAGACCTTCCAATAGGAAAATACAGGTGGAACTGAGGAGTGAATACTGCTGTATCCTTCCCTACTCTACTACTATTCTGTTTAATTAGCATGGTGAACTGATTTGATTTCCCATATGTGATCATGGAAGATTCATTGCAGCTCAAAAGCTCTGGTTCTGTTTAAGTACAGTCAGATAGGAATGACTGGGTTTTGGTTTCCACCATCAGATGTCACTTACTTGTTTTGAAATTTTAACGTGTTACAGACCTGTCGTATTGCAATGAGCTCTGTGGAATCGAGGAGTAGAGGTAACGGTGCAAGTTATACCAAAGCATAGGTTGATGGCGTGCTCCTAGCAGCCTCCAGAATCAACAGTAGAAATGACAGCTGGCTTCAGAGTTTTCTTGCATTAAAGATCTTTGGAACTCATTGTCTAATCAGCTGATCTGAAATACCCATCAGATATCTTGGTCATAGGTCTGGAAACCACTAGAATGCTATCTGGCTGACTCAGAACAGATTTGAAAACAAAACCTTGGTTGCTCAAAGAAAATGTAGTTAGGCTTCTTAAATTGGTTTATCTGAAGCTTTAATATGCAATGATTCATGCTTTATAATGGTAACACTTGATTTAGATGTTGAGTAGGGAATAAAGATAAGCTGACACAGATTCATTCCTCCTGCATTTTCTCCTCTGTACTGACCTTTTATTATTATCTCCTTCATTATCTAGAATGTACAAAGTGAGATAAAAATATCTTGACTTTTTTGGTCTTTTCAGAAAAGTTTCAATGGATAGGGAAGCATATTGAACCAAAAATGCCACCTGCCTTTTAATCCTGCTGTGATGATCAGTGTGTGTTCCATAATGCCAGAGAGCTGGACAATTTATTTTTTTTTCTCAAGCAATATTTGAAAGACTAGGATGCTGACATCATGCTTTTACTCTAACATATTTTAGATATATATTTAGAAGACATAGTCTTTAATATGTGAATCTGGATCCATAACCCTGATCGATCATCTCAAAGTTTAGTTTTTAAAAACTGTTGTAAAATATATCATGTCCTCATCACTGTACTTATATGTGTATACATCAAAACAGATCACAGCTTATTGGCTTGGGATTTTTAATTGTAAAGCAAATTTAGGTTCAGTCTTGTGTTAATGTTTTTCATTTATGTAGTGGATGTTGCTTCTAGCTTCAGGGTAGAAGGCAGGAATTCTGAAAGTGTGTGCTTTGTGGGACTGGGTTGTGGCACACTGCTGGACCGCTTACTGAGGTCTTTTTCTCTCTTAGCATGACAGAGATTTGGGGAACTTTGGTTTCTGTGTCTTTCACTCTACATCCTTTCTTGTAAGCTGTCACGACATGATTGTGTTTATGCAAGAACTTCCATTCCTCATCACTTCTTGTTTTGGCTGCTGGAGATAGTTCTACTTACATCACTGTCAACACTTAAACATATCTAGGTTAACACTAAAGGACCATTTCTCTGAAACTTGGTCCCTGCTCAGTCTTCAAACATGGGTATCTCTTAGATACCAGTGTACAAGCCCAGCACCACCATTAGCGCAATGCCCCTTAGCTCACCCCAGTGCATGGGCGATGTGCAGAGGCAGCATCAGAGTGCAGCACTCCAGCTGTGGTAAGTGTCAGAATATGTGTGACGTGCTTAAAGAATGCATGAATCCAAATCTAAGTATGTGCCCTATCCCCTGGACCTCTCCCTCTGTGGAATCTAACTTATAAATAACTTTACAGCTGTTCCCTCTTTACAAAACAAAGTGTTCGTCATCTTCAGAAAGTGCCCCCTCACTCAAGAAATAATTATCTGAAGGGCTGTTTTTGTTTTAGTAGCTGATGTGTATAGCATGTCCCTTTCTTAAATTGTTCTGTTTTGCAAATCCACCTATCTGTTAATTACTGTATGGATTTTATTTTTCCCACGCTGGTATTCAAATAAATAACCTTGAAAAGGTCAGACTGCTGATGATTTTTTTCCTAGTTATAGTGGTAGGAAGAATACCTCATGCTTCCTTTATTTCATAGTTACACAGTGCTTATGAGATACTATTTTCTACATTGGGGGGTGCAGGAACATTTTTTAACAAATAACTTCCTTCAATTCTGCTGTAAATAGTTTATAGACGTTTTTTCTATCATATGCAAAAATGACCTATTAACACATTTTGGTTTAAAAGCCCTTGTTCTTTTTTAGTTCATAATAAATATAGATGATCTTTGGAGAATTTTCCTCTTTCCACTTTTTTAATCTCCACTCTGAGTGAAGGATTTATATAGATATCTATATTTATAGAAGCCTTCAACAAGTTTAAGTAAGAAGAGTTGTTTAAGGATTTCCTGCCCTTCCCTTTCCAGAGTTAGCCCTTCCTGGTGTGGTGTGTGCACCACTTCCGTGCTGACTTATAGACTGTATTATTGTCTTGGTTGCCTTTTCTTCCCCCTTTCTGTCTTAAATAGAAATAAATAATCAACACTGCAACTGCATCTGGCCATGGAGATGATCTTATTTACATATGTCTTGGTTAAAGATTATCATCTTGGACTTTGGCTTCTTATTTTGTGGATTAATTTTTCTTGCAGGCTCCCCCCCTCCACCTCCTCTACCCCTAACATGTAATGGGTTGAACTCTAATATTGCTGGACAGTATTTTTCAGGTATTTTCATACTTTTAAGAAGCATCTTATCTTCTTGAAGGTTATTTGAAACCAAATTCTCTTTCTGTGGTTGGGGGGAATGTTTATGATTGACCTTGCGAGAACTTTCTTCCTCCTGTTTTCAGTCCCCCTACCCAGTTACTGCAAAAAGACTTGGTGTTTCACGATACGCTCTTTCTACTGTATATATATTTTACGTGTAGATAATTTTGTAATTAAATTGAATCAGTTAATGAATTTAAATGGAAATAAATACAGGAGAAATAAGTAGAATTTTTTGAAAAACTTGTTTTGGTTGGCATTTATCCTTCTATAATTTTATGTATGTAAAGGTATTTGAGCCTTGTGTTTTAAGCGTATGTACCATCTTAGTAAAGGTGCAGAATCTTCATAGCTTTTCTGCTTGCTTTTACATGTTTTGCCTAACACCTTAGAAAATGGTCACTGAGTCCTCTGCTCTGGTTTCTGTTTGGAAGAGGAAAAGATTTTCCTGGAACAGCTAGAAGTCTAAAACAGAGGTAGCACTGTACCACAGATGCATGGCCTTTAATTTTTATTGTCAGCTGAGTCTAGCTGTGTCTGCAATAAGTATCTACACTAATATGAAAAGTATGCTAGTGATAAGTGTGCTGAATTAGTGCTCTGATGTATATTATTGACAAGTATTCAAGCTTTTTTCAGAAAAGTTACTTTTTAAATATGAAAATATTGTCCGATAGTTCAGAGATCTATGGCCATTGAATACTTCTTTCAAATGGCACTCCTATATAGTACTTGACATAACTCAGTGTAATACAGATAGGCTTTTCTTTTGTGTACCCTATTATATGGAATCAGATGCTTAAATTTTGTTAAAACTGCCTGAGTTCTTGTCTCTTGAGTGGAAATTTAATGACCAAAATACTTGTAAGCATATGAAATAATGAATGGTCATGTGTTTGCTGTTCCACCTTATAAACAAAGTTAATAAGAGGAGCTAATGATGAGAGTCTTAACTCCATGCTTCGTGGCCCTTTTTCCATTTTGTCATTGTGTGGGTGTTACCTTGACTTAATATACTGCACGTAGCTCTGTGTAATTTGGAAAACCAGTTTGTGTACTTATATTGCTGTGCTCTGTGTGATTACTGTGAATAAATTTTCAGATATTTGTGCAGTTTACTCTGTAATACTAAAGGCTCTTTTTTTTTTTGCTTGTTAAAAGGTGGTATGTTGTGGATTATTTCTCTGCTGATATACTAACTCCGTATATATACTTATTCTGCTTGTAATATCTTTTTGATGATCTGATAAACGTGTGGAATATAAAATCAGGAGTACTCAACTTTTGAAAAACTTAAGGTTTTTCATAACCACAAAGCAGAAGAAACTGTCCATTAACATTTTCAGTTGTAAGATAATTCTGATTCCCTTCTCCCTGTTTCTGTTCTTGGTTTGCCTGGCACGGGAGACATTTGTATGGCTAAGTTAAGGGCTGTGTTACTGCCTGACTGCACGAGTAGGTGTGTAGCCATTCCAGTGTTCTGGATCTCACATCAAGGTTGCCAGTCTCCCAGTGCTCAGGGTATTGTAAGGATTTTGAGAAGAAAAGTAAACTCAAGTATGATTAGTTTGCCAGTTAATTCTACTTCATCACAAATCCTTAGACTTGCAAAAAGAAATAATGTCTAGGTTTCCCTTCAGTCAACATTATTTTGGGGGGAAGTTTTTTGGGTTTTGATTGTTGGGGGGTGGGGAAGGAGGGAGGATAGGGGGGTGTTGATTCACTTTTGGCTAGTAAAATGAGACTAAGAACTGCAGACATTTCAAGGCAAGTGACTTAACTCAGTGCCTTTACTCCTGGCTCTTTGGTTGAGCCAGGCAGCATTGATGTGACTTCTCTTGCTCATCAAGTAAGTTTCAGAACACAACAAACCCACAACACAAACCTCCACATAAAAACAACCTACTTCTTGAATCCCAAGGGCAGGGAAAATAAGGTTTCCCAATAATGGAGAACGTTACTGCTTCCTGATGCAGTGTTGATTTGCAGAGCACCCTTAAAGGCAGTAGAGAAAAATAGACTGTCAAGGACGTGCTCATTAGCCCTTCATATGATAAACTTCCTTATTTTTTCAGTGGGTCTGAGTTCTGGGGACTTTTTGGTTTTACCTGACTCTGTGCTGAAGCCTCATGCTCTAGATGAGTGTTAACTTCTAGGAAGAAACAGCTATTGGCTTTTCCCCATTTTCTCCCCCAGCGTGCCAGCCCCGTGCAGACACATAGCACCCCAGCTCCCGTGCTGATGGAGCAGCGCGGGTTAGAAGGTCGCCTGAATTCAGGCACCTGCTAGTGCACACAGAGCAGAGCTCACTGACCCTGGACACGCATGGGTAGCTCTGAAAGCTGTTTATACTTTACTGTCTGCCTCTCCTTCTCCTTTCCCAACCACTAAGAAAATGAAACCAGTAAGCACGATTATTCATTCTAGGTAACTACAAGTGGTTTATCCCTGTCGTAAGTAAGGGCTAAGGCAAGATAATTAGCATGAAGACAGGAATAGAAACTATATGTTGATAGCAAAAGATCAGCACGTATCTATAGTGGGAGTACAAAGGATTACATAAAGAGCACCCTCCAAGGGCAATTGTGAAAGTCTGCCAGGGGTGAGAGAAAAGAATGGATGCTATTGTTCTGATTTATAGCTTGTACTTGATCATTTTATTGGCTTACAGAATTACCAACGTGTTTAATATCATGTAAATTTTCTTCCCTAGATTGTTAGCTTTGCTAATGTAATTACCAACAATGAACAGTCATTTTTGTGACTTCCCTTTTTTTCTAACTCCTGAGGTCTTGTTTCCTCCCCTTCTGTGCCTTACCTGTTTTACTGCATGTGGAGATTAACATATGGAACTATTTATGGCATTCAATCATTTTGTATTCTCACTATTCCATATATTCATCCATATATTCATTTGACCCCATGTTTCTCCTTTCATCCCCCAAAATAATCAAAAAATGGTCCCTGTTAAATTTCTTTGCCTGGGAAATGCTACTAGTGGAGGATCTGTCAGGTGCTGTTGGATGTTAGGGAGTATTTTAGGCCTTCGTTAAGCATCTTGCCTGCAGTTTTTAGAACTCAACTTTTAAAACTTGAGCCCCAGAATCTCTACCTTTCAAGGGAAAGGTGAAACCCAAGAAAGAAGGACTGACTGTGTTGTCATGTCATACTATTCTTACCTGTTCAGTTTCCCTGATTCTTGTTGCCTAAAGTACAGCTGCATCTCATTGCACTGATGAAGTTTGTTTCTTTAGTATCAGACATTATTTGGTATCTGGATGACAGCATATACCTTTAAGCAGGTGATCTCCTTGCCCTTGATCTCTTTCTGTAGGCCACTAGGGAGTCTCAAAGAGAAGACAGAAAACAGCACTCTTTGAAGACGAGGGAGAAGAAAAACTGCACTCTGATAGGATCAGAACATCAAATCCAGAAGCTTTGACAGTCTTGCTGTGTTCTTGTTCCAGACAGTTGGTTAGCATGAGGTTAACAAATGTTACAGGACCTGAACACAACAGAAGAAACATTGCAACATTGTAAGGATTTTGTAATGGTGGTTTTGTAACTGACTGCTGGTTTCTGACTGCAGTAGAACTACTGCTGCCTTAAATTACACTTCATTAAATTAAGCAGGGGTAATGAGAACTTTTTTTTTCTCTTGAGAAAGTAAGTCCTTGTGTTTGTTTTTTAATAATTCAAGGTAGTTTTAGTCCAATAATTGAGACTTGTAGACTGCAGTTTTGTTCTGATCAGGTATAGCAATAAGGATGTTAGATCACTTCAAAGTGATTTTTTTGTTGTTGTTATTTTCTTTTTCCCAGAATACTAGTTCTACATTTACTCTGTTGTGAATGGAGTGCTAGTATGCAACCATGAATTATTTCTTTAAGAGTGACTGGTGACACAACCGTACCAAAAGATAATGATGATAATGATAAAATGAAACAGAGTAGGACTGGGGCTTTTTGTGTTTTTAAATGGACAAAGTAAAAACCTAATGTGTAACAGTAAAAGACTCAATGTTTACTATAAAACTGGAGAACACAGTGTGAAAAAAATGTTTTGTGAGATGTTAAATGTTGTCAAAAATAGTTGTTTACAACTAACACTAATTTATCAAGCTATAGTTCTGTTTTAGATGACAAAGTTCTATTTGAAAGATGACTCTAGTAAGACTTGTAAAGTAATTTTCTTTGGGTCTCAGTAATGTGTAGGTGGCCTTTAGGATAGCAATCAGAGGTATTTTTAATGTCTTACTCTTAATGGGATCTGGGCATAAAAATGTAAGTCTGGACTTAGAGGGATTCAAGTTCCTAAGATCTACCTGTCCTACTTTAAGCTGTGAAGTCCAAAATAGGGCTTTTAAAGACTTTTACAATCACTGGACTGCTAGGAAGCTTTGACATGCTTAGCTAATAAAAGTCTGCAGCCAGGTTGCTAAAGGCTTTGTTCTGTTGAGCAGCTCAAACTGACTCCTGTGTAGGCTCTGTGAGGCTCTACAAGAGAAATATTCATTCCACCTGTCACCCACAGAGATGCTGCAGTCACCTCAGTGGCCTCAGAGTATGTCAAATAACTCTGACTCTGAAGCAGGTTAAAGGGGGGACCTTTACTTTCTTATCAATAGCTATAGCATTCACCTCAGATGTGGAAATCCTGTTTTCCTTTTAGGCTCAGGTGATTCATGCTCATATTTTCCAGATGAGCATCCTGACCGTTGGTCTGTGGAGTCATGCTTGGTGCTTCCACTTCCAAAGTCTTTCAGATACCTGATGACCCAATTCCAGGGCAAGGGCAGGATTCAGGACATATTTGGCATGATTTTCTGTGTAAGCTCAGGTGGTTCACTGCTTGGCATGATGGCTGTTTATGAATCTCTTCTTAGGTATCTGTGTTTCTGGGTACAGGTCGTGAGCTTGAGAACTCACACCTGTTCTCAGCAGTGTTGAGTGGCTAGATAGCCACTGTGTCCCATCTTCCTGGCAACTCAAGAAGAGGAAAGAAGCTGCTGTTTCCTCCTAGCTCTCTGTCCTTCGGGTACCCAGTATGTTAGGTGCTCCTGGATGACTGGAGGCTTGTTACCTATTACTTTCTTTTGGAGTTTAATCTCATTGACAGCATCTACACCAGTTGTCTTTCAGAGCACCTTCTCTTTAACTGAGCTTACTTTTAAGGGAGGGTTTCTAAGAAGAGGTGCTAGGAAGTTGTTCTGAGTAGTCTTTCACTCTAAGGTAACTTTACAATAGCAGAGAGTTTGACTCCTAAATAGGGATTTTAGCCTATGGCACAAAAAGCAAATAAGTAGAGCAGGCTATTCATGTGAATCATTATACATGATTAAATATTTGTGAAATCAGGTATTAAACTTATGACTGTCTGTGGTTTGCAAGTATTTCATAAAACTTGATGTTTCTCTCATAACACAATGTCATAGTAAAATGAACTAAATGAAGTTACAATTTTGACTTCATTATAAATTTTGATCTGAAGCTGTGTAGGAGAGTTCCAAATAGCTTGTAAAAGCTTCAGCTTAAACTTAATGAATTACCTTAAATGTTAATGATTTTTTTAATGGTTCTTGATTTAAAAAAAAAAAAAAAAACACACAAAAGTAGCACCAAAAAAGCCACCTTAAAACCCAAAAAGCCCCAAACAAACCCACCCAAAAACCTGTGTCCTGTGATACTTTTGGGGAAATGTTCTGAAACTGGGATACGAATAAATCAGAAAATGTCAGAAATGTAGGTTTCATACCTTGTCACTGCTGTCGGTGGTTCAGGTTGTATCTTAAAACCCTGCCAGCAGATTTCTGATGAAGCTCCTGTTTAAAAAACAAACAAACAAAAAAAAAACAAAACAAAAACAAAACCCAAACAAACAAACAAAAGCCCCCCAAAAACCCCAACAAACCAACTCCCCCAAAACCCCAGGCAAACAAATAAAAACAACCCCCCAACCATCCAAAAACAAAAAGCCTCAATGGTTTATGAGGTTTGGAATGACTTTTTCGTAAAGTGAGAATGGTAATTAGTCCATATAGCTTCTTAGAGGAAAGCTTCAAAATGAATTCTCACTGTAATGGGGGGAAAAAATATTTTCCCAAATCAATTCCTCCTAATCTTTAAACTTCACTCCACCTATTTTTTCCACGAAATTACCAAAAGCTATTGACCTGAGGGATTTGTTTTCCATTCCGAAGTCTTGAAATTTTCCTCCTGGCTAATTACAGCCTATTACTCTAGACTTTGGTCCTTTAGCAGTAACATTTTCCATCTTAAGATGGGTTGTCCCATTCCAGTGAAGAGCATGTTGTCTGAGTGCTGAATGGAATTACTACCAGTGGAAACTATGCTGCAAGAGGCTCGATAAAGCAGCTGCTGTGCAAACCTCAGCTGTTTTTTCCATCCTCCCGAGCACTGGTAATTAGCATAGGGAAGCTGACTAATGTGCTGACGTCACCTCTTTCCAGTCGCAGCTTACATTTTGTTCCTGACTGCCTCAAAGCATGCAGGACTTTGTTCAGGAATTTGCTGTCACATACAGGATGCTCTGAAACCTTTCCATTTTTTTTTTTTTTTTTTTTTTTTTTTTTTTTTTTTTTGAGGGGCTGGGCTTGTTTCCCTTATAAACGCTGCCTGCAGGACCAACAGCTTCCTTAAAAGTCACTGGTTTCTGTGAAACAGCAAGTATCGCTTTGGCAAAGCACAAAATGCATTTTAGAAATTTTAACTACAGTTTTAGTTCTCTGATTGCCTGTGTGGCAGATAGTGATGTCTTCAATCAAGCAGAAACAAGGGTATGCTTTATCTTCTGTGTTTTATTTCTGTGAACTACTGGAATACTAAAGTATGTAGGTGCTGTTTTGAATTGTTTAAAATACAGATGCCTTGATAGCTCTGACTTGTAAGAAAATTTCAGTTCGATGTAGACATCTTGGATCTTACAGGTCTGCAGCAGTATGCTCTGATATGAATGACTCTAACTCTGTAAATTACTAGATCTTAAGCTATGTGTTTTTGGAAATAATCAGGAGTTTACCTCCAGACTTCTTGACTGTCTGTATAGTGTGTTCTTCACTTGCATATATGTTTTCAGCAAATGTTTAGATGATAATTTTGGTAGGAAGATTCACTTAATTTATAGTACACTTTATACTTTTCATGGGATTTTTTTGGCTGGCACTGTAGTTAAGAGCATAATGTTAAAACTACAAGAAGTCCTCTTGGATTTATATTTAACTGATTAGAATTAATATAATGTAAGTAATCCAGTCCTAATACAGTTGACTGTTGACTGCTAAGATACCTTAGGCACAAAAATATTTTGTTCAGTGTGGTATTGCTAGCATGACATTTGTGACCTCTATAATCACACACATTTAAAAAAAAAACGATATATATTGCACAAATCTTACATGTACTCTCTGAGTTTAAGTGTTGAATGTGAACTTTGAAATGCAATTTATTATGGGTTTGGATTACATTTCATACTTGTATCCAGCTCTCTCTGGAGTACAGGAGGCTAACAAATACCAGCTTTGTGTGTGGAGGGTCCTGGTCTGGTTTCAGAGCTCATTTCGAAGAAGCTTAAGTGTGGCTCGGCAAGAAGTAGGCCAGCTCTGGTTTTAAAATATCTTTGAAATATGGTGGTTCTGTATACAGCTGTGACAAGTTTGTGAAGCAGAGCTTTTCAGGAAGGAAAATTAAATTTTGAAGTAATCACCGCCTTCTTATGTAATCTTTGTTGCTTTTTTCTACTAATTCAAAATGTGACAGTAAAAAAAATGAGTCAATGTAGTTTTACATACTTGTTTATTTTGGCTGTGTATTGAACTTCTAGTAAGCTTTTTTGAAGATAAAATATCTGAAATCTGAATGCTTGATCTACTGCCATCACTGAAATAAGGCTTGTGACTGGTTACTGTGTTCCAGTATGAGCCTGAAACACTTTGCAAGAGCCTGGCAGCTTCAGAATCTCTGGCTTCTTTCTCCTCCTTTGGTCTGGCATCCTGAAGGAAGAATGGAAGCACTCTTCATGTAAATGATATAACAAAATAGCCAAGTCAGGTTTGCATAGATGCCCTAGGAGCATAAACCTGAAGTGCAAAATGGAGATAGCTGGCTGTTCATAAAGGTGCTTCAGTCACTCATGTAGCTAGGACAGCAAAGTAACTCAGCTATAGATTCATGAAGGTATGAGGTTTTGGTTCAGTTCCTACTCTTACCACACGGTCAAAATAGAAAGTGTGTCAAAGGCCCTTCCGGAGCTGTATGGTTAGTATTTATGATTTTTTTTTTTTTTTTTTTTAGGAAAGATAGTGGGAGCCTTTTTAGAATTTGGATCCAGAAATAGAAAAGGCTATTAAACTTGAGTTCAGTAATAATATGTTCATTTTCCTAAATGAAAGTAGCAGCTATTAAAACAGGAGATGTTCATAAACCTCATTATGCATGCTGAGTCACTGAAGAAAATTACATTTAGCTTGCAAATATTTTTTTCATTTTTCCTTATTAAAACTGTTGTGTTGGTTTCCTTGAAAATTGCACACTTAAACAAAGGCATGCTTGGCAGACTTTTTTCAAGGCCTTTGGATATTAATTTTGTAAGACAAGCATTTATTTTCAGTATCTTACCAATACTACCATTTCTATTGTGTCACTTAATCAGAGTGCCATGTCTGACACTTATTAATCATAATGATTATTTTTTAATAAGGAAGAAAAAAGCTGCTATAGAGAAAGCAAGTGGTAGGTTAGAAAAAAATCATTATAAAAAAAGAGAGAAGAAGAAAATTAAATCTAAGCTGTTACAAATACATCAATATTCAAGAGTGGTATTATGCCCCTACTAGTAACTGCAATTTATTTCTTTATTTCTTTAGAGAAAATGTAGAGTGTCGCAAATTCACTTTCTTCTCTGGTCCTTTCTTTTCAGGCCAAATTTGAATCGCTGTTTAGAACGTACGACAGAGATATCACCTTTCAGTATTTTAAGAGCTTCAAAAGAGTACGAATAAATTTCAGTAACCCTTTATCTGCAGCAGATGCTAGAATCCAGTTGCACAAGACGGAGTTCCTTGGAAAGGAAATAAAACTCTATTTTGCTCAGGTAAGTCTTTTTGAGATTATCCTTACTAGGTACTAAAGCATAACTAACTTGTGATAAGCTTCCACAGGTCTTCAGTCACGCTAACGAGCACTGTTAATTTTTTCAGTTTGATTAGAGAATCGCAGGTTGTTCCAAAGCTACAGGTATTTGGAGGCTGCTGCATATTTTGCATTTACACCTCCCTTTACTGTTTTGATAACCTTGGGGAAAAGGAATAGATGATAGTAATCAGCACAATCGAAGATGGAGTTTAATGGGGTGGGGGAAGCCAAGTGTGCTCTGCCAACAGTACACATGCGCACACACACGGGCATGCTCAAGTAGTATTTGAGGGAATCCAAAGTGTAGAGCTGCACGTTCAGGACTACCTGTTGATCCCTCTCACTACTGCAAATCGTTTGTTTAGCACACACTTGTACTTGGAGATTGCCATCAGTGCAGCTCTATATGTGGCTAGCGTCTGCTGCTAAAGAGGTGAAACTCTCAGGTTCTGGTAATCTGGGTGCTTTTTGGTAGATGCTGTATATTTTCCTCCATAAATTTAATGGGAAAATTAATCTATGTGTGTCTGTTTCAGATGTCCCTAGGGACAGTCCTGAAGGAGCCAGTTTATTTATATACCTTCTAGAATTCTCACCACTCTCACTTGTGGTAATGAGTTTCAACGCCATTTGTCATTAGGCCTTAAAGCCCATATCCAGCTTCCTCCTATGTCAGTATTTTAAGGACAGATGTTTTCTGGTGAAATTTTTGTAAAACTCCATAATGAGAAGATGCGGATGTGCATACTTCATTGCATGTTTCATCAGAGTTAATGAATGTAGTGGCTTGTCTGTATTTTGTATACTGGGTCTTTCATATAGCTCTCTTCAGTAATATAGTTACATGCTGCCACCTTGAGTGCCTGTTACAGCATAACATCTATCCAAACCTTAAAATTCCTCATGAATGATGGATTAATTGACGATAGTGCAATAGCTTTGGCCTTTATGCTTATTTCAGACTTTGCACATTGGAAGCTCACATTTGGCACCACCAAATCCAGACAAACAGTTTTTGATTTCACCTCCTGCCTCTCCACCTGTTGATTGGAAGCAAGTAGAAGATGCTACTCCAGTCATTAACTATGACCTTTTATATGCTATCTCCAAGTTAGGCCCAGGTAAGAAGGAGTAGAAACACTAGAATTTTGGTTGAGTAGAACACTTTTTAAACTTTCTGAAATTCTAGAGCTTTTCAAATGAATGAATATCTACAAATTAGATTTGTAATATCAGAAAAAGTATTAGTAAATGGTATATTTTTACACACGTAATAATTCCACAGGATCACCTCCACAGTGTGGTCTCACCCAGACCTCCACAATGTGATCTCTTCTGTGATTTGTAGAGATCATGAATGTTGCTTCAGTGATATATTAGCTTGTTCATCAGAATTTTGAAGCAGCAGCTTCCTAAAAATGAGGACATAGTTGTGTAGTTACACACTTTTTGAAGGGATGTGAAAGTCTGGTTTCAGACTAAGACAATGAACCAGTTAACAGCTGTGTAATTCTGTGCTAGAATTACCTCTGTGTTTGAGAATAGTATGTGTAGGAGGGAAAATTAGTATCAACCCAATTTTATTTTGGAGTTAAAAGTGAGAAGTTTCTGCCATTCCTTGCTCCTAATATTCATCTGCTGCAATTTATTAATTTATTGGAAATTTTGAGGTAGCTTCACCTTAGGAAGGAAAAAAGTTTATATTGGATTCCTCTTTTTTTCCCCACTGTCCAAGCTAAAGGAGATATTAAGACTTTACACTTACCCCTTATTTGTAATGCTGTCCCATAAGTTGCTTGTCACTTCAGCTAACCATGCTCTGTAGACTGTTTATCGGTCTATTTATTAAAAATAGATAGAACCACAAATAGGAGACGCAGTTCTAGCTGCTGTTTGTGTTTTAAACCAAATACTACTTTCAGAAATAGATGTACAGTTCCACTAAACTGAACTCTTATTTAAAACATGGTTCCGCTTTTCAATGATTAGCGATCACATCATTTGATGTCACTTTATACCTCAGTTAAGACAACCTTCTTAATGAGAATTGGTGCAAATTATGTATCCCAAAATCTACCACTCTGATTTAATTTGTTTGCAAATGTACTTGTAAGTTTAAGGGAGAGAAAAAATGCCCATGTTTAGTAGTAGTATCAAAGAGAATAAAAACTGTAGTCTGAATAATTTTACTTTAGTATTTTTATATACCTGTTTACCTACTAGCTTAGGGAAACACTTCTTATGTCAGTAGTAAGGGGTGGAGAAGAGGGTAGGGCAGAACTATCAGGTCTCTATGTAGTAGTTTGTGGTTGATTGTATATCTGTGATACCCAAAGATTCTAGTGAAAATAACATACAAACCACTAGGAAATTCTTCTTACCTGTGAAAATTTTGGACAGCTGATGTGTAGATCACTGTAGTGATCTCAGCAGAGACTGTTCCCTCCACTGAGAGGTAATGAGTAGAAAGTAAGAATAAAAAAAATTTAGTGCAGCTGATCTGGAAAGCAGTGAAAAGAAATAGTATGTTCTTTCCCTGTTCTAATGTAAGATTAAAATTATTTAATTCCTGATTAGATTTAAAAGCAATTCTTTATCTTATGGAAAAAGATTTCAGATCAGTGATCAAATTTGTGTCATAACAGTTTTACACACTGTCTGTATTTTATCTTAGAGTTTCACATAATATATGCATGAAGCCTGCTGTTTAGCTCTGCTGATCCACAGAATGCATGAACAGTGTTAGAGCACCTCTGTGTGAGGTGGGTGGAGCTGCATCCAGCTTTCTTAGCACTGAAAGCTTGTGGGGAGAAGGAAGATCTTGTGGTTTTGCCGTCATTCAGGAAAACAAAGTCTTCCTGAGTGTGATACAGGAAGATACCTGTCTAAAAAGATAGATAACAGTGTACACTTTAAAATGACAAAACCCCACCAAGACGACTTCTGACTGCTCATGTCAAATGCTTTCTTGAATGCCTGGGGTAATTTACATAAACTTGCTTTTTAGAGAGCTGCTGAGCTATGTTGCTTTGAAAACAGAACTTAAATATTCCTGAATGGTAAATGTGACTGTTGGCAATGCACTTGCCTGCACCATCGATGCATTGTGGCACCAGGCTTTTGTCATCAGAGTATTACTTACACATTTTTATTTATTCCTTTCTTTTTAGTAATTTCTTTCATACTTTTCTACAAAATGGATCCTTTTTAACCAGTTTTGCTAATATTTTAACTTTCAGGAGAAAAGTATGAGCTACATGCTGCAACTGACACTACTCCTAGTGTTGTCGTCCATGTATGTGAGAGCGACCAGGAAAACGATGTGGAAGAAGAAACAAAGAAGCCCAAACCAAAAATTATTCAGACGAGAAGGCCAGATTATACTCCTACCCATTTAAGTTGAACTGCTGTTGTTTTTCCAAGGGTTACAAGTAGGCATATGCAAGGGAAACATTTACTGTGTAAACAGCAGGTCACAGGTTTGGTGGCAACAGCAGCAGTTATAGTAGGAGAAATTCCAATATAAGTTTGCTCAGAAAAAATACAGGAAGTTTCATCCTTATTTTTGATGCTGCGGGTTGATGGATGTCGTGAGTATGTTATTCCCAGATCACTGGGAACGGAAGATAGGCAGAAGATGACATTTTGAAACATAACAGGACAAACTGGGTGGTTTGTTTTGTTTTTTTTGGGGGGGGTGGGGGGGGGGGCGGGGCAGGGGCAGGGCAGTACTGTAGGTTGTTCCATTATAAAGCAACTGGGGGAAGCTTTCTTTGTTCTGACTCACGTAAATCCTCAAATTAATAGGCTAGTCATTGTGTGGAGTACATAGCGATAACAGAGGTGGTTTTAAAGATTAAAGTATGGGAATTGTAAACCTTTTTCTTATAATAGATTTTGTGCATGTGTATTCTTGGTCTTCTAAAGTAACTTTGCATTATTTTCTATAGTTTCTCACATGTTTCTGGAAATCTGGGAAATTGTTTAAAGTATTTATTATCTCAGCATCCCAGACTTAATACTAGATGTGTATATACATATATATTTATATTTGTTTTTATCGGCACTCATTTTCCAGCAGGCATACAACTTCTTCGGCACCTTATTTTGGTGCTATGTAACTTGTGCTTTTAAAATTTTAACCTTTTAAATGCCTGTCTAGGGTTTTATCTGGCAAAGTAATGGAAAAATGTGCAATAGGAAAGATGTTTAAACAAGTTAATTTTAAATTATTTAAGTTTAAATAATTTGTATCTTCAGTAACATTTGTTCAGTAGCTTTGACTTTCTCATTTGGAAAAAAAAAAAAAAAGAAAAGTACTCCTAAGTGTATAAATAAAGCTAATGTTGCATATTCACAACAATGTAATTTTTCAGTGAAAAAAATGGTAATGGAAGGACATGAACTCTAATATGTGAAACTGCACTGTTGTGAGCAAAGGTTAACTGATTGAAAAATTGCACACAGCGTGTAGAACAGCAAAGAGAGATGGAGTGCCTTTTCCTCGATCATTCCTGATGTGAACTGTTCTACAAGCTGCACACTTGTATTTTTTTTCTACTGGCTTTGTATGTCCATAAATATAAACTTTCTTAGCTTTGCTTCCAAAATAAGCTGGTATTTAGAAATGCTTAATGCCAAGTAATGATACATACTGAAGTAATGGGTATATGTGGGAGAAACTTTAGGGGTTTTTACATGTTAGTGGTTAAAGACAGTAGCTCATGACATACAAGTTTAGAGGAAGAAAGATGACAGAAGTGTATTTTATTACTTGTTTTTTAAAATGGAGATCCTCACTCTGACATAGGTTTCAGTATTTTTTTTAAGAGACAGTAACTGATATCTGTGGGAAAATATCACTTAGTTTTAGAAAGGGGATGTTAGAAGCTTCTCAACGTGTTTTTTGGAAACTGGAGCATGGTTCTCTCTTGGTTTGCTTTTGCCACAGTTGGTCTGAAAATTAGTTTTGTAGCTCGAGTTAATATAAAGAAATCCATTCTGTGCCATCTGAAGCAAACGTTAAATGCCCAGGTTCACACCTTGTTTTTTAAATAAATAATATATATTTTAAGAAGTAAGATGTATAATGAAACCATCCCAAGTTGTGGAGCAGTGTAAGCACAGTGTTACTGAAGGCCTATCATTATACTAAGCAAATTAGAAATTGATATCCTGTGACTACAGAGAACAGGAACGTGAAGTGAACTTTAGTAATACTTGCAGTTATGGTCTTGTTTCCATTGGTATGCCCCCTAAACTGAAACAAACACTAGTGGTTGGTGTCTGTCTTGGACCTAACTCAAGTGGCACTCTCTCCGTGTTAACAGTGTTAAGAAGAGCTAATGCTGTGTATTGCTGGAGCAGTGTTTTATGGACATGAGGGTGCATGAGGCTGTCTTGTGTCATTAAGGTGTAACAAACAGCTGGATACGTGTACTGCTTATTAACACACAAAATAAATAAAGTGGAGAGAAACTTTGTAGGTTTGTCACAACTGCCTTTAAGACTTTCTAAGATTTTTTTTCCATGTTTCTCAGCTTACTGCTGGACTTAATGTTTCGCTGCATTCAGGTTAAAATTGTTGGAATAATTCCTGTTCTGTCCTTTTTCCATCTTTCAGTTATCACCAATCAAAGCATTAGTTTTGCATTAGAAACCCAGGTAGTTGCTGTTCTGTTTCCTAGCAATCCTAAGAAAGCAGTGCTACCTTTCAAATAAAAAGAACAGAATGTTAAATACCAATATGGTTTTTGACATTTTAGTACACTGACATCTGCCTGGTAAGGTGGGCACTAGAAACCATGGAAATCTTGGGATGGTTACAATGTATTTCCCTTTCTGATGGTATTTGTAAACAAGGGTTGTGAGATGGTAATTTGCCTGTGTTTCTGGTTGTATATCCTGGCTTGTGCCACCTTCTGTTATCATTACTACAGTGTGCTGCTTGCTTTTTCCTGTTCTGGGTTTGGCTTTTTTTTTAATGTTTAAATGAATGCTTAGTTGGTATTTTATACAGTTGTATAGTATGGGGCATATTTAAATTAAAATATTTTGTTGTCTTCTTATAAATGTTGTGGTATTTATGCATGAAACTAGTTGAAGATTTTTGCGCCAAAATCCGAACTTTAAGCTTCCAAACACTTCTGATTTGAAAAAGAAAAGAATATTGTCTCAGGCCACATCCTTGCCAACCAAATTAATTTATTCAGAGAAAAGCTTTCCAGCCTTCTCCTAAGAGACTTGCATGATCCCAATCAAAGTATGAGAGTCTACTAATGAATAAAATACAGTCCAGAATATTCCATTTAAAAACTGATTCTTCTGTGCCTGAAGTTGATGTGCTTCCTAATAAAAGTATCAACATCTTACTATTCTATAATAATCCCTGTGCATTCATAGTATCCTTGCTAGTTTTCTTCTACAACATGAATAATTCCCTTTTTAAAGCATTTAAATTATTTTACCTAGTAACTGTAAGCCTTTGTGTTGCAAAACAGGTTATGCAAAAATGCATTGAAGGTTTCACTCAATACGGATAGTAATCCTTTCCTTTCACAGCAGAAAAGTTATTGATATTAATGGCTGTCATTCTTTTCTGCTTACAACTGGGAAGTACTGATGTTTGTAAGAAATTGCTCCGTACATGGAAGTGGTTTGAAATAGCGAAGTGCTGCTGCTCATCAGTAGCAGACCCATCCAGGGGAATTCCTGCGTAGAGTAACGGAAATAAGTTGGTCCTTTAGTGTTTGAACAAAAGACAGAAGGTGAAGTAGCAGTTCCAGCTGAGCCATCCTGCTTTACAGAGATGACCTCGTTTTGTGTTCTTTTTGGAAGTATAACTCATGGTTTGTTATTTGCCCTCTGCATAAGGATAGCATGCACAATCTCCATAAATCTGTTAGAGATCACTAGCATTTGTCATTTTGCAAGACTTGTTGCCAGTTTAGCGATACACATTCCTGTTGTTGGATTATGCATTTGTGCATGCATTACTACATTAAGGACCTTACTTGTTAGCAAGGCGAATTCAACATGTAAGATTAAAAGTTTATTTTTAATCAGGGTTTTGTTTTTCAGAGTAGCAACAAGTGTAGTGACTTTGATATTTGAAATACTGGACAAGTGTATTAGTTGTTCTTCTGGTGTAGTCCGGACTTGTCAAGGGTGGGGAAGGAATGAACTCCAGCAACACTCTCTCATACCGTTTTAACAGTTACAGCACGGATTTTGCCTTAGGCATAATCACCTGCCTAGTCAAGTTTTGCTTTGTCACACTAGAAAGAATGTCTCGGGGAAGACAAGTTCTTTAACTTGAAACTGTGATTTGTGCCTGTGAAGCTTGCTTGCTTGTTCTGGTATGTCCCAAACCTTCTCCCAGTTCCAAACATACAAAATGATAGCAAGGGCTAGAGCTTTACTCTAGGCATAGACCGAGTTCAGAAGTTCACTTACCAGGTCTTGGGTTCAGTTGTGCTGCTTTCATCATCTTTGCTTTTATCCTGGCTTGCCCAACACACTTTAGAAACATTTTGCAGAAAATTACACCTGCTTAATGCTTTTAATAATTCATATTTGGTTGTCTAAAAAGAAGAAAACAAAACAACCAATAATAACAAAGAAGAGACATCCCCCAAGACACTGTACGTTACAGTGAATAAAGCAAGACCACAGAGAAGAATTGATCAATGGGTACGTGACAGGCTGGATCTGACAGGACTGGATTTATCTTCTCTGACAAAATTTCAGTTGATAAAGTACTGACTATCACACTTGAAACATTTTGTCACTTACCCAGTCTGTATTTATGTATCTAAAATTATATAATCTCTGTCATCTGGCAGTTTTTTCCTTTTTTTTTTTTTTTTTTTTTCTTCTTTTTGAGTAACTGGAAATCGTTTTTTACTGTGGTACACTCCATCTGAGATATGAAAAAAAAAAAAAAAAAAAATGATGGGAGTTTAAGTATGAAAGGTTGAAGGGGTGGAGGAAGAGACAGAGGCTCCAAGTGGCGCTGTGTCACTTCAGGCAATCATGTCACCCGTTCTGCTCTGGACTTTCTGCCTCTCGAAGACAAGCTCAGGAAGCTCCAGTTCTTCCTAATGTTGCTTCCTGCTCCTACCCCTGTCCTTCCACAAGATGTTATTGCAGATTTCCAAAAGCCAGAGAATCTCTGAGGTTTACAAGCATTTCCTAGATCTTCTTTCTGAAATCCCTTTTTCTGTTATCCAAGGATAGGCACAGCTAAATGTCTGTGGCTCCAGAACTTTCTAACAAGCTTTAAATTTTTTGCAAGGATCTTGTATGCTGGGAGCACATCGTGGGGGGAGCACTGATGAGAAACTGTGCAGTAATTAGTTCACTGTGTACCACATAGTAAGCAGGTCCTTCATCCTTCTCCTTAACTTTTACTTCTAAATTTATTTGTGTGGACCTCTGTTTTGAACATGTGCATGTTTTCTTGCTGTTGAAGCTGTGCCAGGAATTCATTTTGTTTGCAGTTTCTTCACTACCACATCCTACTTGAATGAAACCTCTAAGTTCAACTAAGAACTTCTATATTCACCTAATGCCCAAAACATCACATCCTTCCTTAATCCTAATGAAATATCTGATTTTCTGTTTGTTCTGTGTTGCATGTCTCTTACTGTCATTCATACGTGCTTATCCTTTATTTATTTTGCTGGTGCAGATTGTTGTACTGTGTTCTGATGCCATGCACCTGCAACTCTGGCCAAGCCACAATCAGTTCCTTATCTCACAGGGTGTGTTGTGGTGCCTTCAGCACTTCTGTAGGGCTGGGAACAAGTCAGACTCGTGAGTGCGGTGCTGGCTGCTAGCTACCATTGTCCAAATCTCCGCAAACATTGATGGTGTCTGTCCTACTCTACCACTTCCCATGTTCAGTGAGGAGAAGCTTGTTCAAGGATAAACAAATGTATAAAGAGCCCTAGAGTATTGGCAAGGGTTTGAAGAGTTTGACTTGTATCTTTTTTTTTTTTTTGTAACATGTATCAGCTATTAATTACTTTTCAACTTGTTTGTTTGTTAGTCAGGATAGACTCCTTATATCTCAGAGTACATGCTTCTGATACTGAAGATTTGAATCGGGAGCCAGTGTTTTGCCCACAGCTCCATTGTTTCTAAATCTATTTTATTCAGTCTCATATCTGGAGCCTCACTGTTTGAGTTAAAGGCTTTTGTAGAATAGGACTTACGGAAGTACTGCAGAATTCTGGAGGAAGAGGTAGAAAATATATCTGTCTTTGAGTCTTTTGGGGCCACAGGGCATTATGTCTCTTGACTGATTGAGTATTTGGAGTTACTCCAATATCAAGGCTATAAGGGTGCTAAAGAGGTCACTTAAGTGTCATTCAGGTAGACGTTACTATTATTTGATTTGAATTTCCTTTGAGGGAAAATGTTGTGCTTTTTGGGGTGCCTAGGGATGCTGCTAGATTCAGGCATGTTCTGAAGTTCCCCACTGAGCTCTCTGCCTCTGCATTTCAGTGACTGAATGTTTATACTGCCAGGTCTCTGCCAAAATCCTGTTGTTACTTTCCCCTCTCCCTTACATCATAAATTCATGTCCCCTGATTCTTAAGATCTTTTCAGCTTCTTCTGTAGTAGTTCTTCTAAGACTTTAAAATGCATCTTTCAAACCTGACAGGCTTTTAAATAGATTTTGGTGAAATCATCTTAGTGTTGTTTCTTTACAGTCTCTCTCTTGTCAGGAAAAATTAAATAAAATAGCTTGACTTTCTCATGACTTTAAAATAGTCAGTCAATAGGAATGCCTTGGAAAATAAAGAAGTAATCTTGTATGTTTTCTAAGAAGAGATCCTGAATATTTTTTGTTTCATTTCTAAGTTGTATTTGTCTGAGTTGCTTTTTTGCCCTCATTTTCCCTCATTCCTCTCCTTTCCATTAACCAATTTGTTTGTTGCATGATTTGAATAACAACTTACATCCTAACTTCAGTGCAGTTCTCAACAGAATTGTGCATCTACTTTTTTCTTTGGGGGTGGAGGGAGACTTGTGTGATTAGAGCCTTAAAGCATAACTAAATTGTTTAATTTCAGTGAATTGAAAGAGGTACATGGAGGTGCCCATAGGTGGAGCTAAATATCAAGCAATGTCATTGCACGCTACTGAATAAAACTCAAAACTCAACCTCCAGCTAAGGCTACCATCGCAAGAGCAGATGTAGAAAAGAAATAACTTCACTATAAGATTGTGAAAGTACAGCATTCCTTGTCTCTGATCTGTGGAGTATAGGAAATCTTGCAGGGCAATCTTTTTAAAGGTAATCATAAGCCATTTTAGCAGTAAGGTGCCATGTGGCATACTGTTCTCTACTTAATTTCATTGATGTCACTCATGAGAAAAAATTCACATGTGCAAAGTGTTTGAGTCAGTCTGCTAAGAAATCTTTATTTTCAGAGCAGGTTAACTACTGGAAGAGTAGATAGGAGTTAGCTTCACACTTGTTAGAAGGTCACAGGGATGCAGTACAGGTTTTGAAGACTTTTTATTTGTGCTTTATAACCTCTAAAAAGCACATGGAATGCGTATTCAATACTTCACGGCAAGGTTGCTTCTAATACTTGAGTAGCTTTGTGCATCTCTGGATATCCTTGTATTCAAGTAAGCATGTATGCTGCAACATGGGGCTGATCCAAAAGATGAAACATTTTCTATGTGGGCTGTTTGTGCTGGGGTGTAGCGGTTCAGTGGAGAGAAGTTTTTCCTCACTGAAAAAAGTCATCACTGCAACCCCCACGTAACAGGAAAAACAAGTTATAAAAGGCTGGCGTGTATTGCAGGCTTGAAGTGATGGTTAATGCTTGTAATTTTGCAGATGTCTTTGTCATACCTTTTCAAACTAGTGTTAATCTAACTTGCATATTGAAGTGCACCAGCTCAAAGGAAGCGTAACCAGTAGTGAAGCTACCTGTTAGAAGTGGGGTATGATTTTATACCACAGGATAGAAACTGTCTGGGATGTAGTTCTGTTTATATCACGTTATCATTCACTCTACCAGCTGCCCTGGCCTAGTTTTGTGCCACATAAATGAGAGTAAAAATTGCTAGTGTTACATAGCCATTAGACACGTTTAAAGTCTTATGAGAAAAATTTCAAACTACATTTGTCAAATTTTCTTCTTAAACCAGTTTGCTTTAAAGGGGTGCATAGGACACACAGGGTGAAAACTGTCTAATTACAAAAGTGAGAGGTGAAGTTCAGATACCCAACTCTTTGTGGCCACTGTAAAAAGTGAAGCAAATTCACAGGGTGCATTTGACTTACACAGGTGA